TCTGGTAAAGAGGGAGAAAGTTAATGGGAAAGATGTGATGTGACAATTGATGGACGTGATTGACTGATGGACGATGCAACATGACAACAACATAAAAATAGAGGCATGCCACCCAATTGACGGCAGCACGTCGCTCAAGCTGGCAGTAACTCGCCGCCCAATCAGTAGCGCACACCTCTCGAAGGCAGCGCACAACGCCCAAGGGGTGGCGCGCACTACCTGAGGTAGTCGTTTGCTGCCCCAGCCAGCCGTGCACTGTAGGCCTAGCCTTCTATGCGTGCCGGGCTAGCCAGCCAAGTGTCGACCAAGCTTGTCACATGCGCTGGGCACACAGACCGCTCCCCACGCCCCGCGCGGACGAGATGTGTGCACAGTTTAATTTATTTTAAATAACAAATATAATATAATTTTTCTTACGAAAAAATAAAATAATAAATTTTAAGAATTATTAATTAAATAAAATACAAGATTTAAAATATGAAATATGATATTCAACTGAAAAATAAAAAATTACGAAATAGTAAGGAGTTTAAGCAGCCTCAGGGTCCGAATAAGTAGGGGTTCACATTATAAATTAAGTGCAAAGGTTTTTGGGGTGTTATATTCCCCCCACCTCAGAAAATTTGGTCCCCCAAATTTGTCATGAATAGATCTTGGAATTTCTCTCTCATCTCGCTCTCCAACTCCCACGTTGCCCCTTCTGGAGTGTGGTTTTGCCATTGCACCTTCACCATGGGGCTCCTCTTATTGCGCAAAACCTTGTCAGTCCAATCAAGGATTTTTGGGGGGAGCTCCTCGTATATCATATCAACTTGAACCTGCATCTCTTGGTGAGGAATGATGTGAGAAGGGTCAGGATGGTACTTTTCGAGCATGGAGACATGGAAAAGATCATGTAGGCTCGCAAACTCTTTGGGTAGGGTACACCACGGGTCCAACACATTCCACGATTTGAAAAGGTCCCACATAACAGCAGTTAAACTTTTTCTTCTTATCGAACAATATTTTTTCCTTATAAGGCAAGATATTAAGAAAGACTTGGTCACAAACAATAAATTCCAAGGGCATTCTATGATTGTCGGCGTAGCTTTTCTGTCGACTCTGGGCAGTGGCTAAGTTCCTTTGAATGATAGCAACTTTCTTGATAGTCTCCTAGATAAAATCAGGTCTCAAATAATGTTGTTTCCAAACTTTGTTCCAACAAGTGGGAGAATGGTAAGGCCTACTGTACAGGGCTTCATACAAAGCCATGCCGATGCTGGAATAATAATTATTATTATAAGCAAATTCATACAGGGGAAGATACTCATACCAGTTATCACCAAAGTTGAGGACGCAAGCGTGCAACATATATTCCAACGTTTAGATAGTACATTCAGACTAACCATCAGCTAAAGTACAATCCAAAACCAAGTGCTTCTTAGAAATATCCCAAAAATGGGAGGTGAATCGAAGATCTCGGTTGGAGAAAATGGATTAGGGGATGTCGTGGAGTCAAACAATTTCGCCAATGTAAAGGCGAGCTAATCTGATGGGTAAGAAGTGAGTGATCTTGGTCAACTTGTCAATAATGACCCATATGGAATTACGACCAGAACAAGTCCTTGGCAGGCTAGTGATAGAGTCCATGGTTACATGCTCCCACTTCCATTCTGGAAGAGAGAGGCCTTGTAACAAACCACCAGGTTTTTGGTTGTGACATCCCAGGTGCCAATTAAGGCAAATAGGTGTCAGATACAGATTCAGAATAACGAATGCATGATAATAATTATGTTGCGAAATCAAACCTTAACAAATTCTTTATAAATATATATAATGTTTTAAATACATACATCACTGAGGCCTGAAGTGGCAACAAAATACAAAACATGAGGGCCACTTCTTTCACTATACTACTGGAATTCATCAGAGTGTGAAAAACGTCATGCACTCAGACTTGTGGATCCATGGGATCCTCATAGACTTCCAAGAGTAGGTCTACCTGCGGTTCCTCATTTTCTTCCTCATCTGGGGGGGGGGGGAGGATGGAAAGAGTGAGTTTTATATGCTCAATAAGGAAAAAAGTATTAAATTAACATTGTAAGATTTAAAAATTTTATTATTTTATCTCACCGTTTAGCTTCCTTACTTACCTAATTCATCATTACAAAAGAAAACCATTTATTTGAATATCAAAATAGTACGCTAGCACAGAAAATCAAATATATATATCATGCCAAATAATAGAAAAATCAAATAAATCATAAAATGCACAAATATTTTGTGTCATACTTCACGAAGTCGTTACAAACTTCCATCTCTAAGGGCAGATACAGATTTTCACCTACGCAAGTGGAATGACTAGATCAAATATAAATATGACAATTTGCTCAGGCCCACTTCCGACTGCCAAACCATGGTACAATCTATGACCATGGTCGTACCAACCATAGTGGTCCTAACAGATATCTATAATCATAACAT